ATAGTTCAAAACAGAAAAATATACTATTTATAGAAATACTGAAAGGTCATAAACACTAAAGAGTTTACTGTTTAACAGTGATATATTTAATATTTATAGGTTTTGCTATAGTTTTGGTCTGTAATATTTCCCAGAGGGGTTAACTGCAGTCTGGGGTGATACTGGGAGGTAGTGGAACTGTGAAAAGGTCTGATCTAGTAGGAGGAAGTGATGTCATTGGGGGGCGTGGCCTGAAGAGAATGCTGGGACTCCCACTCCTTCTTTTTCCTCTTTGATACTTCCTGGCCATGAAGATAGTGTGTTGCTCCACCACATACTTCCTCCATGATGAGCCGCCACAGGCCCAAAGCTACAAGTCCATCTAATCATGGACTGAAACCTCTCCAGCTGTGAGCCAAAATAAGCATCTTCTTTTTAAGGTTTTTTTAATCTCAGATACTTGTTTTAGGGACAGAAAGTTGACAAACACAGCTTTGTTGTGGAAATATTACAAATGTAGCTGTGTGTTGGACCTTTCCACACCACTATGGAGGCACAGTGAAGGAGCTTAGGGTCCAGATTTGTCCTTATGAATTAGATTCTAAATACACATGCCAAATATGTGTTGTTGTCATCAAAATTAAAAGGATTTAGTTTTTTTACTTCATATATAGATGTGAATAAATTGAAAATAAACTTATTGTGATGGAAAAGAGTTAGAGATTATTTGAGGATTACTAGCAGATATCTAGAAAAATAGGGGGTATTGGGTAGGAAGCCACTTGTAAGAAAAGTTATTTTTCATTTTCTGTCTGACCTTAAATAATGAGCAACCAGATGCTACCTCTTTTATATCATTAACATACTCTCATATTAAAAGGCCATGAAGTGCTACATAAAATAAAATTGTTTGAAAAGAAAGGACTCAGTAAATTTTTCTAATAGATTTTTTTTTTTTATTGAGTTTATTGGTACATTTAGGGATACAGTACAGTTACATTCATTGTTGGGATCATGTACCTTTACATGGCAAGTCTTGATTCTCATTTTTTCCCCTTACCTCTGCCCTCCCTTCACCCCCTCCTCCCCTCCCCATCTACAAACACTTTATTTTCATCTTTTCATTCTCTCACATTTTTTTCTTTTCCCTTTTTGTTCTTCCCCTACGTATCACACCTTCCCTACACCTTTAGCTCCTTTCCTCCCATTTCTAAATGTCAGTAATCTTATTAGAATCTTATGCATTGTTGCAGAATATTCACACCAGGGAAACTATTTGGTATTTACACATGTGGGACTTATTTATTTCACTTAGGAGTATATCTTCAATATGTATCCATTTTCCTATGAATGAATCTATTCTCTCGCTCTTTATGGCTGAGTAATATTCCATTTTATAGAAAAACCACAACTTCTTTATCCAGTTTCCAACGGATGGGCAAATAGGTTGTTTCCAAGATTTAGCTATTACAAACTGTGCCGCTATAAACATGGGTGCACATACTTCTCTGTGATATGATTCTTTTAGTTCTCTTGGAAAGATACCCAACAGAGGGATGGCTGGGTCAAATGGAACCTCCAGTCCAAGCTCTTTGAGGTATCTCCATATTGATTTCCATAGTGGTTGCACTAGTCTGCACTCCCACCAACAATGGAGGAGGGTTCCTTTCTCCCCACAACCCCGCCAACATTTGTTATTGTGTGATTTCTTGATAGCAGCCATTCTTTGTGGGGTGAGGTGGAATCTCAGTGTTGTTTTCATCTGCATCTCTCGAATGACCAGTGATGTGGAACATTTTTTCATATATTTTCTTGCTGCTTTTACTTCTTTGTATGAGAAATGTCTGTTCATTTCGGATGCCCATTTTTGGATCGGGTCTTTATATTTGGGGGGACTGATTGTTTTGAGTTCTTTATATATCCTTGATAATAGTCCTTTGTCTGAGGTACAGCTGGTAAAAATTTTTTCCCACATTGTAGATTGTCTCTTAGTTCTGCTAATGGTTTCTTTTGAAGTACAGAAGCTTTTTAGTAAGATGAGATCCCAGTTGATTTTAATTCATGCTTTATTCCAGATACCTTTGCAAACTCTATAGAGTTTTGCATGCTACTCTCTTGTTCATCAAGGAAGCGTTCCTCTGCTCATGTCAAACAAACACACTTTAATCAGAAGTGGCAACTTACTGTTCCCTGGGGTGGTTGTTTAATTTTGCTTTGCTACCTCAGCAAACATAAAGAAGTGGGAAAATGACCATCAGCTCTGTCGTCTGTATGCAAATGAACTTCATATTAATAGCATGCTTTGAGGACAGGGACTGTGACCTTTTGGATAAACTATGGTTAGCCTTAGGGCCACACTAGCTTCATATACCCTTCATAGAAAATTGCCCTCTGCTAACTTCGCTCACAATCTTTCCTCTCAAAGCATGTTATTTGGCAGAAAGTTTATAGAGGCACAGAAAACAAAGAGATTCTTTGCTCCTTTATTTAGGTGTGCTGTGGTAACAAAGCAAAATTGAATGTCAAATTCATTACACTGTGGAAATAGGGACAGTGATTCAGCACTGGCCACAGAGACCGTTTGCTGTGGGGCCAACCCACTGAGAAGTTGTAGGAGATGTCAGTTAAAGTTTGTGGAATGAATGACTGAGTGAATGATCATTTTATTACTGCTTTGCTGCATTTCTTTTTGAGCTACTGGTCTAGAGTAACTAGGGACTGCAAATACACAGGAGTCACTCATGGGAATTGAATGCCAAAAGAATAAAAGTGGTGGTGTTCATCTAGACGTCTGTTGGACTTTAAGCATAAATATGCAGTCTTCATCCAGACTCAGTTATGCAGCATAGTGTACTGGAGTAAACCTATAAAATTTTGGAGAAAACCAGATCTATATCTGTATCCTAACTTTGCTGCCCACCAGTACTCTACCCAGGGTAGTTCACTCACCCATTGTGAGACTCAGGTTTTTTTTTTTTTCCTGCAAAATGGGCACATTTTCCTTTATTTTGGAGGCTTGTTCTGCACTTCCTAAGGTGTGCGTATGCATCTCAGCAATAGCAGTAATGTTGAACTTTGAATACTGTGTGTGATCTTCTCTGTGACGAATACCTGAGACAATCATCTTGATACAGAAAATGATATCAGGAACTCCAAATTTGATATAAAGGGGATGTTATAACTCACAACCTGTTAGATATCTGACATACTGAGTTCATATTCTGTAAAAATCAAAGAATAAGTTCTAGGAACAATGGAGGTTAAGAATAGAAAATATTTGTTGGGGGGCAAATACAGCTCCTGAGAGGCAGGAGAGGGCCATAAAGTGGGTTGCCAAGAACCCCGCTTCTCAGAGTAAGATTTTTAGAGCACAACCACGTGGGTACAATGTAGGTTACAGCTATGATCAACCAGTAAAATTATAAGTATCGTCACTTAGGTAGCATTGATCCAGTGGGGAAGCAGGTCACATACCAAATGCACGTGGAAAGAACAAAAACTTTTCAAGAAGAGTTGAGTCCAAGGGTCTTGGACACCCACTGAGGTAACTAATGTCTGTGCAAACTTCACTAGGCCAGAGGTCACCACTTTTCTTAGGCCTGGTCATTTCATCTTTATCTTGAGGCTGGCCTCCAACAGATGTGCCTCCAGCCACAGTCGCAATGTGTTTTCACCTTTGCCCCGACTCTCTTGAGGGCCTAGCCCTGTCTGACTACTTATGAGGTTCCTACTTAACTCAGCTGTCTATAGTAATCTTATTATGGAAAGGATTTACTTTGGCTCATCATTTTGGAGATTTTAACTCATAATCAGTTGTACTCATTGCTTTGAGCCTGTAGTGAGGCAGCTCCACACGGTGACACTGAGTGGCAGAGGAAGCTGCTCACCTCCCAGAGAGGGGAAGAAAAAGAGAAGGAGGAAGCGACCAGGCTGCAATTTCCCCTTCAGTCTCTGCTTCAGTGACCTACCCTCGTCCCACCAGGCTCCTGAAAGCCCTCCCTACCTAACGTCTTCCCACTGAGCCCCACCTCCTGGCAATTCCATCTCCTCCCAGTGAAACTGTAGATGGGGCACTAAGCCTTTGACACGTGGGCTTTTGGGAGACACTTAATATCCAATCTATGGCAAGGAGAGAAGTAATATTAATCAGGGCAAAATACAGCCTGGCTCAGGAACTAGGTCAATTTGAAATCAAATCTCTGCTCACAAACTAGTCATCTGTAAGCTTGTACAGATTCCCTTATATCGTTCCACTCCACTCAATTCCTGTGCAGTGGGGATGATGTTATTTATACTGAATAGTAGGCATTATTAATTAAGAATATTAATGAAAATGTCCGTGTCCTTCCAGCCCTGACCCAAGCATCCTTTCCCACACTGTGTGAAATTGCACACACTTTTCTAGTTAATGGACTTAACCTCTACTGTGGGGGGGCAGCCCTAGTCCCTGATAATGTTCTCCAAAGTGCTCCAGAGTCTTGCTTCTTATGGCTGACTTGTGCCTAACTATAGCCTCTATGCAGGTCCCTTTTCTAGGTGGCACGATTGGGTCTCACATTTTTGCAATAGATTTCATGCTAGCTGCTGTAATACTGATGTCTAATGCAGTAAACTTTTGTAGCCAAGAGTTTATCAGATTTTGTACAAACCAACTAAAGGTGGAAAAGAAGATAGAGCCTCCTGAGTATGGAAAAGTGTGATAGTATCTTTTCTTTCCTGAATGGAGTCAGGGATTCTGCCGACCATGTGCCTGCGTGTGATGTCAGTGGGAACTTTGAATGTTGAGGGTGGAGATGCTTGGATGGCCTGACTGTGGAGCTGTCAGCAGAAGCTGGAAATGCTTAGAACCTTGGTGAGTCAGAAGGCTGGGAACCTTGGAATCATTCTGACAGTTGCCTTTAATTAAAAGATTTTGGCAAGTCATCCTTTGAGAAAGCATCAACTCTTTGGAAATCTTCTGACTTTCTCAAGTTTTGCTTTCACTCAGCATCTTGGATTTTACTTTTGTTTTCCACGTGCAGATTTATAATCGCCTGGACACGAATTGCTGTGGATTCAGACCTCGAAAGGAAGACGCCTGTGTACGGAATGGACTGAAGCCAAACTGTGATGACCAAAATTCTGCAAGTCTGGCACACATTATCCAGCGGAAGCATGACCCAAGGCATTTGGTTTTTATAGACAATAAGGGTTTTTTTGACAGGAGTGAAGATAACTTAAACTTCAAATTGTTAGAAGGCATCAAAGAGTAAGTTGTATGACATCTTCTGGGATAATGTATGTAAAATAGGTAGTAAGAGTCTGGGAAAACTCACACACTAGCTCTGATTGGTTTCATCCTTGGAAGGAATTCTGAACGTGTGTCTGAGAGTAGAGATCCAATGAAGTGAAATATACTGGAGCATCGAGTGACAGCCTGAGCTGACCACAGAAGCCCACGTGCTCCTTTACATTCATTGTGCTGCTTGGCCCTCTTGGCGGAAAGTCACACAGGTTAGGCTGGAAAAGCACAGGGCCTGGCAGAGCAGGGAGAGGCGAGTGGCAGAGACTCTGTTGCTAGTGCACAGGACAGAGCATGGTGGAGACAGATATGCAGATAGTGACGTGGCGTAATATCTAACTTCCTGTTTAAACTTGAGTGACATTCGTGAAAGTCAAAAAAATGAAAGCAAATCTGTTGAGTAGTCACAGTATCAAGGTTTGCTGTTTAAGTCAAGAAGGATATTGTTTGGGTGCACGGCCACCCTTCCAGTAGATATAGATGAAGTGGGAAAGCATCCGACACCTAGAAAGAAGAGCTGGCGGAGGCTAGGGAGGGAGGAGTTATTGCTGTACATGGGATTGATCAAGAATTCAGGGGAGAACTCAGACATTTTGGTACCTCTGCAATAGAATGAATTCAGAGTACAAAGGAGCTGGGCATGGAGCAAGAGAGGAACTCTGCGCCTCAGAATTTAAAGCACATCATTTGCTCATAGCACAGGTGATCTCACATTTAATTGGTAATACAGGTAGTTGAGACGCTTGGTGGCAGAACCAGCTCTAAAGTCCGAACTGTTTCACGCCAGCGATGGAAATGGTGGCCAACTCTCAAACCTCACTGCAGAATGGGGGGAGCTGCCCTCCACAGGTTTCCTACCTTGCTCAGGAACGAGGGGACTAAGGAACTGGAGCAGCTAGAGACTTGAAATACAGGGCTGCACAGTGAAATACCAAACCATCTCTGAGGAAACCAAGTGACACGAGAAAGTATAACAACAATATTGAGGTTAAACTTGGTCTGGTGGTGTATGCCTGTACTCCCAACTACTCGGGAAGCTGAGGCAAGAGGATCACAGTTTTTAGGTGAGTCTAGCCTCACCTCAAAAACATACAATACAGTGCAGTGCAGCACAGTACACTACAATACAATGCAATAAATACTTTTAGAATCCAGGCCTTCCCAATCCAACACGAGTATTTTCTCTTGTAATAATTTATGAAGGCTTATGCTGAGTTACTGTTACTTAAGTAGGATGGATTTTATGAACTTCAAACATTAGAAGCAATATTATTCCTGTGGGATTGTGAACCCAATTTCACCAGTTTTCTGCCCTGCCCCACCATGCTGACCTGTTCTTCAGGTCTCTTTGCGGACTGAAGGCAGAATGGGTGACAGATTATCTCCTTTGTGTGTCTAAGCTGAGGAAGTTTTGTGTACAGAGAAATTTACATTCCTGAGACTGTGTTGCTGTTATAAGGACCTGAAGTTTCCTGGTAAAAAACATCCATTCATTTCAAACATTCATATAAATACGAATATTCTTATTCATCCTTTCAAAGTACACTTTAAGTACATTATAAGGCATAATAGGTTTAAAATTAAATCTTCTTTGAGTATGTAATTCACATTGAGAAGCAAAAGTGAAGACTTCGCTAATCCCAGATTTATGCTATGAGTATTCCTATTAACCAGTGTAGTGCAGGACCTAGTAATATTTTCATTTTCCTTTGTATGAAAGGATTAACTACTGAAGAGACTAATGGTTTTACCAGTTTCATCTCATACATTCTGCCACAGCTAAATTAGTTGGAGAGCCACAGAATTTAGGAATCATGGGTTATTAATACATTATGGAGCAAAATGCTACACAATACTGGTGGGTGTGAGGGTATGGAGTGTGCATGCTCAGAGAGCTCAAAGCACCTTGTAAGCAGAGTTGCTGCTGTGCTTCTCAGACCCCTCAGGCAGCCCCAGCTCTGTGGCCCTGCATCTCGGGCAGCATCAGAGCTTAGAGTCCCTGAGCCCTCCATCTGCGCTTTCCCCTTGCTGCCCCCACTGTGACGTCAGGACTTGGAAATGAGTGCTGAGAAGGCCTGAAATTGTGGCACACTCTGCAAGCAACAGTGTATTCTTGCTGTGTTTAAAAGGAGTTTGTTTGAAATAACTATGAAGTGCCTGAGTTTTACAGTGCTCTCCTCAGCATTCTAGTGAAAACGGAGAGATCACGTGGGTGGGGGTTTAGCAAAATCTTACTTACAATTCTGAGCCATAAATTCTGCTAAGTTCTTCAGATAATGTGCGCCCTAGGCCACTGGCCTCATGCTTTCAAACTGAAGGGAAGAAAGTACGATGTACTCTTTGAAAGTATTTGGCAGGAGCTTTACTAGAAATGGTGTAGGTTTTCTAGACATCCTTTATGGAGTGCCCTCTCTCTCAAACTTGACTTTTGTGAAATTTATTTGAAAACAATTTGTCTCAGTCAGCTTTCCTTTACTGTAACAAGTTCCTGAGATAATAAACTTAGGAAGAGGAAAGGTTTGTTAGGGCTCTCAGCTTTGGAAGCTTCAGTCTGTATCCAGTTGGATCTATTTCTTTGGGGCTGTAGCCACACAGCACAACGTGGCAGGAGGACAATGAGGAGGAATTAAAAGACTGCAGGGGAAGTGCTTGGGTCTCACTGTTCCCTGAAGAGAACACCCCAGTGGGCACCTTCAATGACCTGAATCCAATAGGCCCCACCTTTAAAGGTTCCACCACTTAGCAAGAGCAGTAGCCTTTAACACATAGAACTTCAGGGAACTCTCCAGACCCAAACTGTGGTTCATGCTAATATTCTTCTTAAATAAAATTCTCCTAAATAATCAGAATTCTAGAACCATAACTGAGTCAAAGGCACTTCTTTCTTTAATTGGGCATTTTTCAGTGATTCCTTTATCATGTTATGAGTTGCATTTGGCATTATGTAGTAATTCAAGTTCGGTTGTGCAACTTCTGTTTGGGGAAAGGACTTCACTGAAACTGTCAGCTTTTTACTCTTAACATTTTCTTGTTTAAAACTCTACCTTGAGGGCCAGGGATTTAGCTAGTGGTTCCACTGCCTGCCTCACAAGAGCAAGGTCCTGAGTTTGATCCCTGATTAAAACAACAACAACAAACACACACACACACACACACACACACACTCACAAAGACTCTACCTTGATACTTATGCAGATACCATTCTAGGCATGGACTAAAGGGTTTCCAGCAGGTGAAAACAGAGCTCAAGGCTGTGGGACTATTCTTGCTGATTTATTAGAATCCTAATTTCCATGCCTTTCTTTGCCTGATTATAATGATTTTAAAGAAAATGTTAGTATGTCAGCTAACTGAGTTAGTTAACTTGAGTGGTTGAAACTTCAGTTTTCTTAAAACACATGCTTCTAGTTTATTATTAAGAGAAGTGTCACCTTGGCAATGACAAGCATGTTTAGGTTCTCAAGGCATCATTTGATGCTGTGATTTATGCCAGATTCATGAAGGTCAGTGTAGTTGAGGAAGGAATGGTATTTCCAGCCAGTTACTAAGATGAAACACCGTGCTGTCTTTTCAGGTTTCCCGAATCTGCAGTTTCCGTTTTGAAGAGCCAGCACTTACGGCAGAAACTCCTCCAGTCTCTGTTCCTTGATAGGGTTTATTGGGAAAGTCAAGGAGGGAGACAAGGAATTGAAAAGCTTATCGATGTAATAGAGCAGAGAGCCAGGATCCTGATCACCTATATCACCGCACATGGGGCCGAAGTGCTACCCATGAACGAGTGATAAAGGCTGGAGGGCGAGGTGCAGTTAGGCATTTTTGTTTTTATTTTAAAACCAAGTACATCAACCTCGCATCCTCTTGTGCATGAGGCAGTGCAGACGATTGCATGAAATAGATGACTTTAACCATGTTGGCGTGATGGACCTGAGTACTGTCTGCAGGTATAGAGGTTTTTAAAAACATGCTGCTCGAAAAATATATTTGTGTCTTTCTCTATATCATGATGCATTTCAGCATTGGAGTGCAGAATAGTTCTAATCACTCATCTGACTTGTAATAGTGTTTGTCATTTAGTAGAGCAGTATCAGCCAGAGGTGCTGACTGCTCAGTAAGCCACATCTTAGACCGTGTGGATTGATCTGGCGACTCTAGTGGGAGTGGCTCATGATGTTCCTCTGTGGCTGATCCTGAAAACACCACCCAGGATGAGTCTGCACTGGGAATTCAGAAACAGTATCTGAAAAACTGCCAGCACCTGCCATACTTTCTAGTAAAAATGGTGGATTAATGACACAATCACCAGTGAAATTTCAGAAGTGTCTGTAAATCATCATCCATCTCTGAGGAGTAAGATCTGTATACCCCACTCCTTTTTAGAAATGTACCTTCTTGTCAGTATAAAAATTTGTGTTTAACAGTTTATATATCTGTTAGCTGTTTTCTCTCTGTTTTGATCCAATTTTTGTCTGGAGATTTAGAAATAAAATAATTCTAAGGTAAGAATTTATCATTTGAAAATGAACATACAAAATGTGTTTTATGGATGCTTTAAAAATTTTATCTTTTACACAAGATATACTATAATTTCTGTATTTTTTATTAATAATAGTGGTTTTGTTTTATGTAATTGTATTGAGTCTGATTTAGCTGATGTTGCCCATATATAAGATATCTACATATTGAGTGTGTTTAAATATATTTTCCAGCGTATTCCCATATGAGATCAAATAAATTAAAATTTAACTGATCAGTTCTTTTCAGCGAGAGTACATGACCAAAACTAAAACAGTGAATTCAGACAATATTAAGGCTCAAATAGTTTGCCCTAAACTGCTTGCACTAACTTGCAAATTTTATTGGAAGGACTTTGATATCTTGTTCTTTGCTGGACCTTTGTATCCCTGGGGGAAAAAATCAAAGATCGTTGTGCTGCTTGGGTTTTCACACAGAGGTTCCAAATTTGAACTAAATCGTCATTTCCGTCTCACCACAGTCCATCCTACCCCTTGTTTAAAAGCTGGCTTTTTCTTCCCTCAGAAGTTTAAGAATATAAATTATGAGTATATCTAACACAGCGTCTCTTTCCTCCATCTGTGTTATTGCCAAAGGGGCCATATTCCGCTCTGCTGTGATCAAGGATGCTGGTGGACCTTGCAGTGCAGGCTGGGGATTGAAAGAACGTTTGTGCAGACACTGATTCGCACCAACGCATAAAGTTAAATTGCTAAGTGGGAGAGAAGGTGGGTGAAGGGGAGAGGTGATGTGGCCACCCAGCTGTGCCTTTTCTAGTCTCGCATTCACCTATTACCTTGAGCACCTATGTTTGCTGCCCGTGGCCACTGGAAGGGATCTTGGGCCGTCCTCTGATACTTCCTTTGTGCCCAAGTGAGTCCGTCTGCTCCCCAAATGCATACTGCTGTTGACTCTCTGGAGCCCCCACTTTTACCTCCCCGTCGGAATATCCTTTTGTCAGTTATCCTCATAAAAATTTACAAAGGCTTGGGCCCAGCTTCAACTTGGAGTGAGCCACTGACTTGCAATAACTTTTTAGCAAGTTGCCTCTATGCCTTCTTTTGCCGAGATGGCGTACTTCCGTTTTGATGTACGTTTTAGAGTTTACTGTCTGAACTCAAATGTATGATGCTGACGAGGGGAAGGCTAAGCCCTTGAAAAGCCAGCTGTAGTGCAGTCTCCAGCTGTACTGCTTCTAGGCAGCCTGGTGCTCCGTCCGTGAGGCTGAGTGTATTCACCTGCAGTTAGGCCTAATCCTGAAGGAAGGGCCCGGGAGCACTGTAGTTGTTACATTTGCCACTGCACGATGTACTCATTCTGCTATCGGTAAATAATTCATGGTGTATTATTTTTGAATACTGGGTAGGCAGAGGCCAAGCTTTTAATTGTAATAGGTAATCCTCTTTTCTAATTGAATCAATAAGAATACTTTATACATTTTCAAATACATTCAGATTTTGCTCTGATTTGGCTCACATAGGCATATTATGTGGTTTATTTATAGCATTATAGCAAATGTAAGATAGAATAATTGATCCTGGTGGACATGCAGAAACTTATTCTTGTGACTTATTTTCTTAAGCTGTTCATAAGAAAATGAAAACATCTTAAAAACCTATAATAAAACGTTAGAAATTAACATGTATGCTGTTTTGTAGATGTATTATTTCTCAAAAGCGTACAATGGTTGTTACTTTATCCATGAGAAAGGAAACCATGGATTAGTCGAGATTGTGTGTGTGTGTGTGTGTGTGTGTGTGTGTGTGTGTGTGTGTGTGTGTGTGTGTGTGTGTGTGTGTGTGTGTGTGTGTGTGTGTGTGTGTGTGTGTGTGTGTGTGCATTTGCTGCCATCATTACAGTTGTTATCCTTTTCCTGGTGTGTGTTCAGCATTGTACTATGAGGATGATGTGTAAATTAGTTAAAGGATACAAACTGTAAAAGAAGATTCACTTTTTGATTCAGTTTCTCTACCTGGTATGAATTTCACCAGTTATGTTTATAAAGTTTTCTTTATAACATTCAAATGTATTATTAGTGACCTAGGGAGATTATTAAAATATAAAATGTATTAGACTTATCCTTAAAATATTTGTAATTTCTGGGCTTGTGCAACAGCTTATTCATTTTATTATATTTTTAAATACATGTTACATTATATTTAGTGAATGAAATATCTGGTTGTCAATTCATTTGTATACTCATAAAATTCTAATATTAATCTCAGCACAGAATGAAAGACACATTTAGAGTGTATGCCTGAGAAAGATATAGAAACTGCACAAGTGAAATAAAAATGATAGACTTTTTTTTTTCTAAAAGTTAAATCATATAACCAAGAGTGAAGAACTTTAATCTATGAGACATAATTTGACTTATCAGAAAAATTATCTGAAGCTTGGAAGTAGCCACAGGAGATTCTTGGAGATTCTTTCATTGTAATTCTGGGCTTAGTTCTCTGTAAAATGGACTGTTTAACACTGCCGTGGGACAGAGATTAACTTGGGGATTGAATTTAGGACCTTGTGCTTGTGAGGCAGGTGGCAGCACCACTGAGCTAAATCCCGGGCCCACTTGTAGGTTTTTAATCCATAGAGATATAAATGACTTCTTTCTGGTGGAAGAGAATACAATAATTCTAAACATTCTAAGTATTTACAACTTATTACCCTGTTGGACATTAATGAGTTTTCTTTTAAATAGGTTTACCATCATACTGTTTCGCCTATAATTTGAATAAAATATTTGGCTAAGATTTATTTAACAGTTTCACAGGAACTAGTTTTAACTTTTTTGAAAATTTTGCTTTAACAAACTTCTGACTGTAGATCCATATAATTTTATTTGCTTGGTCATCATAATTTTAATTTTTGGAAATTTTGTTACCAAACTTTTAAAAGATAGTTCTATAATTTTTATAGCCAAATAGTACCATGGAATCATCATCTCATTTGAACCCTCATCCACTGGTAAGAACAAAACAAAACAACACCACCACAATAAAACTGGGACTTAATGAGGCAAACAAAGTGACTTACCCAAGTTTACAGAGCCGTTGACCTAGATAGAATCTTCTGTGTTGGAAATGACTTAGAAAGTTATGAAGCAAGAATTTTCAGAGATTTATTTACCAAGAAAAAAAAATAAATCTTAACTTTGTATACCCTGAAGTTGTACAGCAGCAACTTTCTAGGTTCTGGCAATCCTAGGGCACAGTTCCTTCATTTGGGAAAGGACTCTCCTTGGTTTGTGAGCCTCCATTTTTTGGCGAGACAAACCAGAGTTCCTCATCCCGTGACACTTGAGAATCGCAGTGTCTCATTGACGGAGGACCTCCCATGGGTTATGTTCTGTGCTAGACAGTACAGCTGTACAAATTAATGACTACACTTTTATTGGATCAGCCAGCCATTGAGACCTGTAATTAGGGTTTAATTTCCAACTAAGTAGCCAAAGTTTAAGAAAGCAATTTGTGTGCGGTCGTGGTGGCTCACGCCTGTAATCCCAGCACTCGGGAGGCTGAGGCAGGAGGATTGCTGCGAGTCTGAGACTAGCCTAGGTTACATAGTGAGTTCCAGGTCAGTGTCAACTACATAGTGAGACCCTGTGTCAAAAACAAAAAAAGAAAAAAAAAGAAGAAGAAGAAAAGCAATTTGTGAAAGAAAGCCCAGTGCTCTAAGAGAATAGTGACTCTCCCTGTAGCGTGTTGTTGACCACTGTTCAAAGGTGCTAATGCAGCCTCACTGGTGATCCCACAGATCTGATCACCTCAGTTGTCCTTGTGCATCACTGTGTTCCTGGGTGCAGTAGTAGGTACTCGCCCTGATTGCTTAAAAATGCATTCCTGTGTCTGTGATGTGCCCATGGCAATAAACCTTTTATAAACTCCCAGTCACGTGGAGAAGCTGCTTGAAAGTACGGCCTCTCTCTTCTCCATTTCGTTTGAGACCCGCGGGCCCATTTGTGGAATTCTTCCTTCCAGAGCCTGTGGCTTCCTGGGTTAAGAATGTCTGCTTCAGCCCGTTGTGTGGGTGCACGCCTGGAATCCCAGCACTCGGGAGGCTGAGGCAAGAGAAGTGTGAGTTCAAGCCCAGCGTGGTAATGTGGCCACTTTGTGAGACCCTGTTTCACTATAAAAAATAACACAAAGTGGCAGGGGATACAGCTCAGCGAGAAGACTGGGTTATACGGGTGGGGAGGCTTGCTTCCAGTGTAATTCCGAGGTGGGGAAATTCTACTGTGTACAAACTCAGTTAATGACATACTTTATTGACCAGTAACATTTGAGGAACCAGTCTCTTTAGTAACCTAAATGTTTTCAACCCATACCGTCAGTCCCAGATCACTGATATCTGCTCAATAAACTGTAGCATGAAATCTTTGAGTTTATTTTCATTTACTCCTTTAATTTACTAAAAATGATCAGTTACCTCAAATGGTCATACTTATTTGCTCTGATTTCCTAAAGGCCCCTAGTCTCTTTTTCAGTGGCGTTTTAGAGCAGGAGAGAAGCCATGTTAATACATAGAGGTTACTGAATCTGTTGCTAAGTGGTTCACCATGTGTAAGGCTCCACAGTCTCCTAAATAAATAAACGAACTTTTGCCAGTGGAATTATTTCCTTGACATTTATGCAAAGAGCAGTTCCTGTTTCTCACTCTTCCTCTGGCCTCTGAGAGGAACTGAGGATCCATACCCGTGTCCCCTTTGCCCCCTTTCTTTTCACACACAGCTGTCTTATGTCAAAACATGGCATCTCTCTGGCTTTTTAAGTGTCTTTCCCCTGGGGTAGAACTCTGCCGTAAGACGGGCCTGACTCAGAGTGCTGGCGGGCTGTCCAGAGCCTAAAAGCACACATGGTAAGTGAATGCAGTCATGGGGATCTTTTCCTACAGTGGATTTGCCTGTGTTTAAATTAGCTCAACGTTATTTCCTCACTGTGGCAATGTGCCCCCTTGCCCTTGTGATTTCGAAATACACCCAGTTTCTTGATTAAAAAAAAAAAGCAGGCACAATTATGC